GGTTTTTAACTCGGGTACAGCTGGGGTTTAACCACGGAAGGGTTTGGAAGAGGTGGAGATGTGGGAATGACAGCAGGAGGACGTGGAGCTGCTGGAGCAAATCCAGAGGAGGCCCCGGAGCTGCTCCAAGGGCTGGATCCCCTCTGTTCTGGAGCCGGGATGGGAGAGCTGGGAATGTTCACCTGGAGAAGAGAAGGCTCCAGGGAGAGCTGAGAGCCCCTTGCAGGGCCTAAAGGGGCTCCAGGAGAGCTGGAGAGGGACTGGGGACAAGGCCTGGAGGGACAGGACACAGGGAATGGCTTCCCACTGCCAGAGGGTTAGATGGGATATTGGGAAGGAATTGCTGGCTGGGAGGGTGGGGAGGGGCTGGGATGGAATTCCCAGAGAAGCTGTGGCTGCCCCTGGATCCCTGGAAGTGTCCAAGGCCGGGTTGGAGCAACCTGGGAGAGTGGAAAGTGTTGGACGTGGAACTGGATGGGCTTTAAGGTCCTTCCATCCCAAACCATTCCAGGATTTTAAGAAACGAGGGGATTTAGGATCCACCCTTGGTGCTTCCAGGTCTCTCTCCAGCTTAACCATTCCCAGCCAAGGGAAATGCTGCATCCAGGAGGGAAAACAAAGCTCTGGATGCTCCTGGCACAGCCCAGCCCCAAATTCCAGTTCCAAATGGGGCCACAGAGTCCTTGGAGCCCCTTCCAGACCTAAAGTGGCTCCAGGAGAGCTGGAGAGGGATTGGGGACAAGGCCTGGAGGGACAGGACACAGGGAATGGCTTCCCAGTGCCAGAGGGTAGGGAGAGATGGAATATTGGGAAGGAATTGCTGGCTGGGAGGGTGGGGAGGGGCTGAAATGGAATTCCCAGAGAAGCTGTGGCTGCTCCTGGATCCCTGGAAGTGTCCAAGGCCAGGTTGGATCAACCTGGGATACTGGGAGGTGTCAGGGTTGGACCTGGATGATCTTTCAGGTCCCTTCCAACCCAAACCATTCCATGATAAACCTGCAGCCTGTGGCTGATCCATGTGGGACAAAGAGGTGACAGAGTTCATAACCCCAGCACTGCACCAGCACTGCCAGAATTCCCCATTCCCAGGCCTAATTTCCCTGGCATCAGCTCAGGGATCTCTGCAGGCGCCTGTGCCATGTGATGTGAACTGAATTGTGAATTAATTTAATTTTTATTTAAATATTATAAAAATATTTTTTAATTTTTTTTTT